GTTATAGTTTGATAAAACCAAAAAGACACCAGGTGCTTTTAATTATGTCTGACACATCACATCAATTAATGAAGTAATCTAAAATAGTTTTTGCTTTATAGCAATTGTCTGATGATGTGATTTTTGAGGGGGGGTATTTTTATATTTCTTGGTGTTTGCTTGCTTTCTAAACAGCCTTGGTTAATTGACTATTTTTGTAAATTCTATTGAGAAAAATAATCTCTTTTCTTTAGCTTAGCTCTGTTTAACCTCTTTTGTTCTATTATTGTTACATACCAAAGCAGTGGGTTGAAAGGCACATGAGAGATGAGCCTTTATGAGTATCAGTGCTACAATCAAAAGTCATCTCAGAATCAAAGAAATAAGTATCATGGCATCATAAGTTTTTCTCCCTACATAGTATAGAAAGTGATACTACCATACAAGAGCAAAGGAGGTGGAGCTGAAATTATGATGTACGACTCATTTCATAATTTGTCCCTTCTTAATGTACCCTATGGTTATCATTGCCAAATTTCCCCAATATATATTTATCCTTTAGAAGGAACTCAGCATATTTCTAATTTTCGGCAAGAAGCTTTATAATTCATTTTTATTTTAAAACTTTTCATTTTAAAATCAGTACATCCAACAATAAGGTATATACTGACTAAAGATAACTAACAGTCCAAACTGCTTTTAAATGAAAAAGAAGAAACTGACAGAAGGTTCAATATCTTTTCAGGGTAATTAGGAGTGGAATGTCTGTAACAGATTTAATTTAGGAAAAATGATCTCTAGCTGTAATGTTATCTCTTAAAGCAATCTGGAAAGTAGAGAGAAGTCAAAAGGACAGCTAGACAATAATTTAATCCAAGTGCAACCAATATGTCACAGATAAAGCTATTTACTACCATTTAGGAGAACAGTAAAATAAAATCTTACATTAGAATTGTATAGTTGATTTTTAAAACTTACAGGTACTGACAGTAAAGCCCTTTAACCTGCCTGAATAATTAGAGAGGGTTCCTCCCCCCCACCCACCAGAATAATACAAAGATTATAAAGGTAAAGTTAATAAATCTATTCCAGCTGTAATAGCCTTGTTCAACTTTCAATAGCATAGCTGGCTGGAGAATTCTGGGAGTTGAAGTCCACCAGTCTTGAGGTTGCCAATTTGGAGACCTCTGAGCTAGAGAGATATTATGTTGCTCAGGTGATTCTTTTTCTTCTTGTGCCATATCCGTCATCAGATATTGGCGATCATGTTGGCGATCCTATTTTTATCAACAACTGCAGAAAAAAGTGCTGTTAAGTTTTGTCCAAACCAGTCCCTTAGATTTTAAAGCCATGATGTTCTTCTGCCTGGACCTCGTTTGCCTTCAATCTTTCCTTGGAGGATTAAGTTGAAGTATGCCATTTTGTCCAAAGTATTTTAATTTTTGCTTTTTTAGAGTTTTGATGATTTCCCTTGGCTTTCCCAGGTGGCTTATCAGCTCAGGTGATACTATTCTGGAATTGGCCTTGCATAGGAAAGTATGAGACATGTTTAGCGTGCAGAAGGGGGATCTGCAAGGCATGACCAGAAGAGCAAGATAGCAGGTGCAACAGCATGATTGAAGACTTGCTTTTTGTATGAAAGCATTTGTGCCCATGGTCTTGGCTATATTGGTGCTTCCCTGCCATGATGGACAATGAAAAGGACAAGTGCTGTTTTGGCAGCTCTTGGAGATACCACTAGCCACAATTCTTGAAAGTGGCTGGTATAGTTTCCTGTCATTTTGAGCTGGGGAATACATGACACCTGGAAGTAGACTATAAGCTGAGGATTCTCAAACACTGTGATGTCATAATTCTCCCATTGGTTCCATATGAGAGTGGGCATGATGGGGTTGAGAGGTCAGGACAGGGATGATTATAGCATAGGAATATAGCAGATGAAAGGGACAGGGAATTTTGATTTATGGGCTGTTGAGGGATGTCATTCAGTGCACCTATTTGTTGTTGTTCAGTCACAAGTTATATCCAACTCTTTGAGATCCCATGGACCATAACATGGCAGACCCCTGTCCTCTACTGTTTTCCTAAGCCTTCCCAAATACACACACACTGCATTGATCTAAGCATCTCATCCTTTGCTGTCCTCTTCTCCTTTTGTGTTCAATAAGTGCACCTATAGAGAGACTGATACTGAGTCTGTTTTGGAGTCTGTTAGGGAAGATACGGTTAGCTCTGAAATGTGCCCTGTCAGCAGTGGGCTGCACGGAATGGAAAGGGAGGGAACAGAATTAAGATGATGACAGATAATAAGAAGCATGCAATGACACTTTATAAGGAACAAAAAGGTTGGTTATTTGACGACCATCTCCTTTCTGAGTCAGCTGCTTAATCTCAGGATCCAGAAAGTTAGGCCATCAAGTTATGTCTGGTGCTAAGTATGCCAAGTTTATCTATAACTGTGGATAAGAGGACAGACATGCCTTGGATTATTAGCAAGATTTAAGAGGGTGAATGGGAAAATGTTCCCTTTTCTAAAACACATTCATCTGGGTTCTGAAATTTAACCAACAATGACCCCAGATCAAGGAAATATATGTTTGGGAAATTTTACAGGCAGTAAAAAGTAGTTTTCCGCTACCAGGCATGTAACCTTGGATGAATGGGTCGCTAGAAGAGACCAGTTGTGCTCCAATTTGAACTGCTTCTGGAACAAAAGGTTTTGTTGACAATGTCTTGTGCCCTTTATATCTCCTATCTTAGTTCTCTGGCAGTTGCGACTGATTCAAAATTCAGCAACTCATGTGCTGACAGATTCTGTCTATTCTATATAGGTAATACCTTTGCTGTGGGAGCTTCCTTGCCAGTTGGCTTCCAAGTACAATTTAAGGTGCTGGTAATTATCTTAAAACTTTACATGGTGTGAATCCTAGGTATCTGTGACACATCATTCTCCACATTTTATTTTCTAATCTAAGTTATGTCACCTGTCAAAAATAGCAATTTATGTCACTTTAATTAATCTGATTTCCCTATTAAAACTGCAATTATCTAAGCCAGTACTTAATTGACAGCTTTCTGTGTTTTCAATTTTAGATTCAATTTTATAATTTTACCTTTCAGGTGAACTCAAAATGCTGTAGCTAAAACATTTTTATACAGTTATTCAGTTTAATACAATAATTGGTAATTTATAATTTCACCATCACAATCAAAGTTAAGCTGCAACAATAAACTACTAAAATCAGCAGGATACAGAAAGATATTCTTAATATTGGTTTGGTTGTTGCTCTCACTGTTATTTAATCATTTATTTAATATGACTCTTATGTCCTTGAATAAAATATATTTCCTAGATATTCAGTTTTACATTCAGCTAAAAAAAAGTCATGCTATTTCTCTCTTGCTAATTTGCATAAGAGGTATTTTTTACCCAGAGGTCCTGTGGATACTGATGTCCATACCAAGAGCTTTAGAAATCAGATAATATGGAAGAAAAAACAGTACATTTTTAATAATAATGCCTATAGCTGGGATTTTCTCCCTAGTATTTTTGTTCCTTCCTGCTGAGCTAGAAGCATGAGCCTTCCTATATTAAAGTAATACTGACAGTTCCTCAGATAAATTGAAGTCTATCTCTTTTTTTTGATCTAGAGGCACTGATGGACTAGAAGAGAGCTAGCAAATTAAACTTCAATTTAAATATAATAGTGATAGAAAATTGCCCAGCCTAAGAACTAGAACTTGCTTTGAAACTTAGAACACTATCTCTGAAGGAATAGGTATATAACTTAAAGGTTTTCCCTAATTCCATAGTATGATAAGGAAGCCCATTTCCCATTTTCAGTTACAACTCTAGCCTGAAGAATATGTATCTTAATAACATTATAAGTGAATTACTTCAGTCAGTTTTCACGTGCTGTAATTTAGACAAGAACACCATCATAGAATTTCTGGTATTATCATCACTTGGTATCATTTAAATTTGCTGAAGATGTCACTAGCTCTACGGAAGGCTATCCTTGAAAATGTTTTGTAAACATATTGTAAACATTTACAGAATATTATTTGATTGTTAATCAGGATAGCCAATAAGCCCACTCCCAGAAGCACTACAGGGTGCTTCTGTTATGAACTAGGCCAATTCAAGGAGTTTACATTAACCAATAAACTTTGACATGGATTTGACCCAAGTACTTAACAGAAAACTTTCTTTCAGCTTATGCACTAAGATCAGCTGGAGAGATTCTATCTAGGGGTTCTGCAATTTAGCTCATAGCGTAGTGACACCCAGAACATTTTTCTGAGCAGTCAAGCCCCTTTTTACAAACCAGTGAGATACTTACACCACATCATTTAGTGTAAGTGTAGAATTCTTCAATTCTTTTCCCCCAATAGTTTTGGAGGGCTAACTTCACTGATAGTGAAATAAAGTTTACGTAACTTCGTTGTCCAAACTTTATCAGTGTCCCTGATGTCTTTGGGTCCTGACACATCTAAATGTATTTCATATGAAAGTCTGCAGGGGGAAGTTGGAAATCTGTTTTGCTGCATACATCTACAAGCTATCACTTCATTTGCAAGTCTGCCAACCAAGGCTAAGTGATAACTTTATTTGTGCCATATGAAGTCAACCTCCTCTTGTGATCAAAAGCTTTAAATTCGAGTGTTAAACATTTGAATCAACTAATTTTGAAGCAGTGTTGCGCATCATTTAATTTAGGAGCGTATGTAAAGCTGAGAAAGAGACACAGTAGGAATACCAAGAGGATTTGCAAAAGAATAATAAATAAGAGGAAAGCTGGCAGGGTATTAAATGGAGGATTACAAGCTTTGGGAAAGGAAGCGCAGAAACCGACTACTGTACTGCGAAGGGGACGCATAGAACCGCAGTTGGAGCCAGTCACGCGGTCGCAGAGTTAGAACGCTGACAAGCACCTGCAGTCCCGCCCTTTTTCCACCACGTCCCCGGATGGGCGTGGCTTATCTTCAAGGATAAAAGTGCGAAGACGGCCATTGGCTCCTTCTTTTCGATTGTAGGAAGAGTTAGGCGTGCGGCTGCTGTTGGGGATAGGGAGGGAATGATGAAGAATGTTGTTCCCTGGAGGAATAAGTTTTACACTGGTAAGGCTGTTCATTTCTGATTTTAAGTAAGTGGCCGTCGCCGTAGTAAGATACTAGCCGTTTGCTGGAACTTTTTTAGAGTTATTACAAAAGCAGGGACAGCTGAAGAGTTGCGGCGCATGCGCCCTGCCGGTTCTTCGATTTGTGAGGGTGAGCTTGACAAGCGGGCTGGAGCGGGAGAAGGAGGCGAAATCCTTGGTAAAATGGCGGGCGGTTATTAGAATCCCTTCCCAACCGACGGATGAGGAAGGGTAAAGTGAAGGATCTAGAGGCGCCCCAGCACGACGGGAGCGGAGACGGGGCGGGGGTAAACTAAAGGAATGGGGAGGAGCCGCTTGATTTTGTACTGGCAAAGCAGATTAACGGTCGGTTCCTCAGGAAGCAGCGAAGGCTGCACGTGTCCCCGTACCTTGTGAAGGGCGGGAGTCTCCGCTTCCTTTTCCCCCCTTGCGCGCGTGTATCTCGGGACGCCATGCTTCCATGGGACCTGCCAGGGTGGCAGCCTCCCTTCCTACTCATGGCAGAGCAACCGTCGCCTTGCTTTTTGGCATAGCTCCCCTCATTTCATTGGGGGGAGACTCTGACTTGGGCAAGTCACATTCCTTCTTGTGTCACCCTAGGCAGCTTCGTGGAGCGCGCGTGTGTGTGTGTGTGTCCGTGCGCGCGCGCTTTGGAAACGACACGGAGGCCTGCGTGAGAGCTTTCCTCTGGGGACCGATGGTGGTCATTGCAAATACCTTACAAAGCTGCCTTTCCTGTTTTTTAAAGTTGAAAAGTGGTTCTAAAAATACCGTTAAACCGTATGAGGTTAAACTTGGGTAAAGGAGTTTAAGTGTTCCGGGGAGGCCTACAGCTCTGTAATATGAAACTGATCTTTTTAAAGAGAGCTTTGGGGGATTTTAATTGGCAGTTTGTCAAGAGTTTGAAGTTTTGAAATCAGTTTAACCTTGCTAGTTGGTATCTTGGATTTATGAAAAATAATTTTAATCTATACTTTTGGACGTTAAAAGTTTTAGGAGTCAGTAATTTTGAATTGGTGAAATTTTGACCTGAAGCTGTATCTTGAAACTGGAGCCAATTAATACTCGGGACTTAATTTTCCTTTATTAATGACCCAATTTTGGTAAAATTTAGCTACTTTCATTTCAGAGGCTTTCTCCTTTAGACCAGTGTATTTCATTGTCCAATTGGGCAACATCTAGTTCATTTCCTGAAACATTGCCATCTGATGGGAGCTAGGAAATGTGCCTTTTCAATGGCAATCCTGCCCTGCTCCCAGATTTTTGGTAGCCCCTACCCTTCTAGCATTATAAAGCTTTTGCTGACCTGGCTTTTCACCCTAATACTTGGAATAAGATTTTACTTTTGGTGGGAGCTGCCCACAGTTGGTTATAAGATGTGGTATTATATAAATGTTACAAATAAATGGATGACAAAAGATCGATATTTTTGTAAATTGAAAAATATTGATATTTTGTGAATTGAAATTATTGGAACTGGACATTTTCAGCCATGATCAGGATGTAAAAAATATAGCTGCGCTGGTATTTGGATTCAGTGCATCTATGACCACAATTGAGCCTAAAATTTATATTGTTAAGCAAGGTATTTGTTAAGTGAAGTTTTGCTCAATTTTATGACCTTTCTTGCCACAATTGTTAAGTGAATCATTGCAGTTAAGTGAGTCTGTTTATCCATTGACTTTCTTGCCAGAAGGTCTCCAAAGATAACTACATGATCCCAGGGCACTGCAACCATCTTAAATGTGAGTTGGTTACCAACTGTTCAAATTCTGTTCATGTGACCATGCTGCTGCTGCAATAATGAGAAGCATAAAAAATGGTCATGAGTCACTTTTCAGTGATGTAACTTTGAATGGTCACTAAATGAACTAAGTTGAGGACTACCTGTGAAATCAAGTCTACCCCAACCACTGATGCACATTGAGTATATCATCGGTAGACAATGAAGAATTCTATCTCAATAATAAAGTTGGAGGGACCCAATATATCTTCTTGGGGTGGTTTCATTTCTCATCTAATCAGAATAGGTTTGTTTAGTACAGGCAAAAAGTTAAGAATTGTTCCTAAATCTTTTCTTCCAGGTGGGTTATTATGTGGGACATCCCAAGTGAACCCATAAAGTTGGTTTGATCTTTCTGGGGACTATTATACATAAAATAAAATCCAATATTCCTGTAGATCATGTTATGAGAGGCTTGTGAAAGAAATATAGATTTGGATGTATATAAATCAAGAGAAAGTAGTAATTTTGCTGCAGGTATTGTATGGGTTTGATGCCTCCCAAGTTTTTTTTAGGGCATGTCAAAATTTCCAAACATTAGGGGTGTTCAAAAGTTATCACGTCTTGGGGATTGTAAAGGTATTTTGGTTACTTCAATGTTCTTGGTAAATAACTACATAAATATAACTTTTTGACATTTTATTTGTTTCATTTCACAGGTTCAGCTGCTTTCTCTTTGTCAAACGTTATTTTGTCTGAGAGTTAATACAGTGGCCACGTTCCTGTGAGTGTGATAACTGATCTGTAATGGCTTCTTTAAAAAATGATACTGGGAACATTCACTCATATGAGCAACCTAATTGGGACTGGCAGAGACTTGTTGCCATCTGAACTCCCAATACTGCAGACATTCTCAGATATGGCTTACTGTTATGAGAACAAAGTAGTGATGATGCTAGAAACTACCCAGCAGCCACTCTTGCAAGAGATATATATTCAAAAGTGCTTGAAAAGTGGGAACAAGCAAACAGTTCTTTTGTGACTCCTGTTGTAAATTCACAAATGATAATTATGATGTATGTTTTGTAAATAAATATTTATATTTATAAATTATGACTTTGTTAAGTTGACAAATTTTTTCAACTGTTTTTGTGAACATTTGAAAAACTATCCCTACCAGTGCACTGATTTCCTTGTTGCATATATCATTAAGATAAATCAATATTGAGATACTGAAAACTAAAAAAAATCCATAAATAGCATATTTCATTACATTGAATATTTTATATCTTAACCAAATAAAATTATAAAAAGCAAAATAATTCTGTCAGCAAATAAAAATATTTTGAAATATGGTTTCTAAATCCCACTGTGGTATGATATTACATTCAGTAGTAAACTAAATATCATTTGGGGTTATTTAAGTCAAAACTGCAACAGCTTTTTCCTAACAATGCAGTATATGGATGGCAAACTCATAATATAGCATGTACTTATTGAAGTACTTCTTCCTAACTTAAGAACAGAAATTACTTTTTGCTGTCTAGTTTTTTTTTTAAGGCCTTATTTAAGTTTAGACAATATTAGACAATCATACTTACACAAAATAATGAAAAGAATCCATGAATTGCAGGGTTAAATGTACTTTCTAAAACTAATTTGTAGATGTGTTAAGTATTTGATGCATTTACTTTGGGCATAGTTCTGGTCATTAAAAATTGGCCAAGTAATTTACGATTGTAAAAAGCTGAGATAGTAGAATGCCACTATTAACATTATTTGTTAGCATACTGAGAAACAACTTGAAAGAGTGGCTGAAAAATCTAGGATTTTTATTCCAATAGCAGAGAAGTTAAGGAAAACTATAGGATGACAGCATGATAAAATGTTAGTAGATACATAAATGAATTGTCATAAAGCACATATTTAAGACTGTTTATACCCTACCTTTACCCACCGCATTAAAAACCATAACTTAATACATCAATATTACACAATATTGACACTTTTACAAGATATTTTATTCAACTGTTTCTTTCATGTACTAAAGCCAGGATAACTTCATAAAGATAAAACATGGTATAAGTCAGTTAAAAATTCATTATTTGAAATTAGTAGGGTATACAGTTCATTGTAGAAAATTTGTCACAATACAAAAAGAATACTATATGCGATAATCTTACATATAGAATGATCTGATTTGTGCAGCTGCTATCTACTGTTTTGTCTTGGTAGAATTACATGTTCAAACAACATTACTTCTAGGATGACCTATTTTAATGTCCAAAAAGTTTTACATCCGTGAAAAAAAAAAAATATTTCCCCAGTGCAACAAGGGACATTCATAGTTTGGTTATGCTTCTTATCCAAGATATAAAAAAGGAAACTTTAGTATAGACACCTGGAGAGTCTTTGACTCCACACCCATACCCCCAGGAAGTCACACCATACACAACCCAGATATTTCCTGGCCGTTCACATATTAATGGTCCACCACTGTCTCCCTGACAGCTGTCTACCTGTTTTTGTCCATGGAGGCTACCGGCACATAGCATTCTCCCTGTGAATTTTGTGTGATACCGTTCTTCACAAATTCTTTTAGGAATAAGAGGAATAGCAGCTTGTTGTAATGTTCTTGAGTAGGCTCTCCCTGATGGAAAAATATTGAAATTAAAATACCGAATATTAAGCAAGTGCTTATTCTTAAAACTTATCAAATAACAAATATTAGCCAAACAGATCAGACATCAGGTCATTAAGGTCTTTGTTTATATCAAGAATATAGTAATACACAATCCTTCAAAAACAAATCAATATTTACTGAACATTTAAAAATGGCTTGAAAGATGAAGTTTTTCTGGTGTTCCTTATTTGCTGTTCCTTATTAGTAACACATAAACTTCATAGGAAGTTATACTTTTATAGCCATCTTGTATAGCATGCCTTTTTAGTAGGTACAGGTATCTTCACAATTTAGGAAATATTTCCATCTGCATTTTTTATCTAGTTATGTCAATTCTGATTCAGTTTGAGTTGGAATTCTGCAATTCAAGTTTCTGATTCAAGGTTCAATGCAAATGTTCCATTTCAAGTGTTAATTTGAAGAACGCATGGATTATAAAGAAGCTTTTAAATGCCTGATGGTGTTTTAACTTTGCGGCAGAATGCAATGAAGCAGGGGTGGTAGACGAAAATAGGTAATTTTAAGTTGGCCAGGGTTCAGTTTGACCATACAGGAAATCATTAATTGATGACAGTAATTCAGACTGGAATTTCTATCACTATGCAATGTCATAAAGTGTGATGTTACATGAATACATTGCTTAGCATCTTAGCAGTTCTTCATTAACCAAATCCCAACTTTCATTAAGTGAGGACTCAGTCTGATCCAAGTCATTCCAACCTTGTCCTTCCCAGCTCAGCCTTGCAAGGCAAGGGACTGCCTCCTCAGCAACTCACTCCGCCTGCTTATTCCCCTTCCATTTCTCTCCTTTTGTTTGCCCTGCTCTAGATTGGTCCTGCTGTGCCCACTTTCACAAGACTTTCAAATTAGACCAGGGGCCATGTGGCCTTGGGAAGAAGGCCCGTTAGCACAAGATTAAGTGTGCCTAATCAGTTCAGGAAGAAGATGATGATGGTTAAGCTGGGGATGGCAAGGACTGCAGAAGCAGCCAAAAGAAAAGAACTGAAGATGGCAATAGGCAGGTAGAGGGAGTTGGTTCTCCTGTAGTAGTAAATGCAGCAAGGCTGCTAAGAGCCTGAATTTTGACCATCGGGATGCTGTAACAGTGGTAACTTCAGGAACCTGGTGTAACTACCATTCAATCAGCACTGCCATAATTTCAAATAGTTGCCGAACAAATGGTCATTAAGCAAGGACTATCTGTAATACATTTTTAGCTATCCTATAGAATTATTTGAGATAGCAACAATGAAGAAACGGCTGCAGAACAATTTCAAAGTAGTTTAGCAACACACCCATAAAGACTTTGGCTTAACCAACTATTGCCTTCCATTTTAGGTAGGACACATTAATACAAATGTGATTCAACAGAACAATCACCCTCCTCCCCTTGCTCCTTTAAATCACGTTTTTCCAGGGCACCAGAAATAATATATATTTATTCGACTTAGCATATCACCTAGTGCACTAAGCAATTAAAAGTAAAGAACAAAACCCAATCTTACCTGTATCACCCCAACCAGTGATGTAACAATTAGAAGCTTTCTGTGGCCTCTCCCGCCTGAATGGCAAACAGGCAGGTAAAACATGAGCACTAACGCGAGTACACTGTTCATGAGGCCCTTGCAACCTCACTAGTGCAATGTCATAGTCACTATTATCAGGCCTATATTCTGGGTGTTGCACAATTTCTTGTACTCCAATTTCTTCTTCATACTCTTCAGGTACCAGTGTGTGGTAGTCTCCAACACGTACCACATAGTTTCGAGTATTGTTGCCATACCTAAAAAAAAAGTGGGGAAGGAGATAATTGACGTAGGATTATGCTTTTATTATAGCATTGATGAAAGAACTCTGGAAAATGAGCAAGCAAGAATTTTACATTTCCAGTTCAGCAACAATTCAGGAACTCAGTAAAATACAATCGTTTAAATGTTAGTAAATCTTTTTGAATTTTCAATGTTTTGGCAAAAATATGGCCTAAAATGTGTTATGTTCTTTACACAAGTTCTAAAAGTAAAAACAAGTTAGTTAAATGAATCTAATACTTCTAAAATTTACTTCTTGAGAAAAATAATCCAAGGCTAATATTGTAGTCTATCAGTGACAGACTAAGATGATCACTGAATACAAGCAGGGAAGCATTATATGAAAGGAGATTGGCTCAATTTCCTTTTCTGATTCCTTGTTTGGCTTTGTTGCCATTCAGTTCTGGATTTTTGCCCTAATTTTGGGAAAGCTTTTCATTATTTGTTCGGAGTGTTCCCTCTTATCAGGCCCAAATTTGGTGACTAAGATGAAGGATGTGAAACTAATGCATATTGTGCCAAATATTAGTATGCTCAAATTGCTTCATCCTGACCATTCTGCAATATGGTAGAGATATTATTTAGGTAGAATTAGCATGTTGAATGTTAGCACCTTGAAAAGGTAGATATGTCTGTAGCAGTAAAGGAGAAAAAAACGTAGACATAAATATATTCTTTCTCTGAGTTTTTGGAATAAAGATAAACAACTATCATTTAAATAACTTACATTTTAAAAAATGTCCTTGTGTAATAATATATACAATCCATATTAAATAAAATCTTCCTTTTTAATTATGTTGAAATATCCTAATAAACAGATTCTCATGCTAATGAAGAGGTCGTGAATTTAACCAAAGAACAGTGTCAGTGTAATGAATTAAACTGGCTGTTTACTGCTGTTTAATGGACAGATATTTTTTCATAATACTTGTTCCGCATTTCTTCATAAAGAATGAATCTTCCCATAAAATTATTTTACACATAGGACGAGAGCAGGGGTGTCGAACTCATGACGTATTGGGACTTTTTTCCCCTTCGCTAAATGGGGCATGGGTGTGGCCAGTGTGTGACACATCTGGCCCAGGGGCTGGGAGTTTGTAGCTCTGCACTGGAGCATCGTGTGAGGAAAAACTCAAAAACTGACCATTTGTTCTGGACAATTATTCAATACAGTATATCTGATACAGTTATTTCTTTAACACTTGCTTGCCACATGTAGAAAGTGTCAGGTTCATTTACCTTTTGCTAACAGTTCTTAGATTCAACTAACTGATTGTATGGAAGCATAATTCTGCAAGTATCATCAATGGCTTGACCATATATTTT